CTGCAAGTACGTCAACTCAAGACAAAAACGTCACCATTTTTAATGAGGATGACGATCAGCAGATGGACGATTTCCGGGATAATATCGCACATAATATGTCGAGTGGTCATGATGAGGAACTCGCAGTTCCAACAAAGAAGAAAAAGAAGAAGAAAACAGAGACACTAACTGAACTCCACAGAAGAGTTTTAAAATCCCAAGAAAGATTTCTATTGAAAAAAATGCCCAAAATTATTACAGGACTTGGCATTAGTATTTCCTCCTCAGAATCGTCAGATTAGCTTTACCACACTTGTATGATCATTATTATTATATATTAATAATAAAAACCCAGTGAATACATAACAGAATATTATGTCCCTCTGATTATATAGTCAACAAATATCATTTCGTGTTCCATAGTCGGAAGCTTGAAACAATCCAATTGAATTAGGTAGATATTAACCTCAAAAATAAACTTTGAAAATACATAATTACAGTATCGATTTACAGTAACCAAGTCGGTGTCGGGACTCTGTTGTCGAAGTCGGCGAGTTTGAAACAACTCTATTAAAACTCATGCATATTCAAGCTTAAGGGAATTTTGTAATACCCTGCCATGTTAATTCCCCCGAATCAGCCACCCGGTGGCGAAACTGGTAACTACCTACTCGCATCTGAGTAATTCAAGCAAGTTGTCCAAAAGGTGTCACTATATTGCCATATTTAGATTACATTGCAACCTTGTCTTTATGAGTGTCCTAGCTACTATTCCTATCATTCAATTTGGAACCAGATAGCGAATCATCATCCACAGTTAAGCAAATAATTACAATGTCGTGTGCTGGGCTGAATTTACGATCCCTGGAACGAAAATTATTAACCTGTATTCTTTATGGATATTGTTCACGTTTGGCGTAAACTACCCCAACTATAGTAGTTTCAATGTTCTGTAAAAAAAGCAATACATTTGAACAGTAGCATAGGTATCTGGTAACCATAGCAACAGTATGGTATGTGGAGCAAGAGTACAACACATTGTAGAGATGGAAAAAGTTTGACACTTGAAGGGTGTTACAGGGTACCATATTCATTTCAAAGGTGTTTAATATGTTTATTTCCTTTTTTAACTTCACACAAATATACAATGCATGAGTTGTTGACACTTTAAAAAGTGTATTACCAACAGATTTTCACAATAAAAGTTTTGTGTTGTGCAGCCATGCCTGGTAATTAGTTTTTTCCATTAGACCAATGCTATATGTGTAATGTGATAGCATACAAGCTATAAAATCCAACTCCATTTTCACGGGGTACCATCGAATAATTTTGGCAACGTACCGGAGAACGACATTTTACTAAGAAATGGCAATAATTTAGCACAATATATTTTTAAACTAGAGTTCTACTTTGATTTTGACAAAAGTAAGTATTCCATGCAATGGCTATTTCATTCATGAGTTTGTAGGAATTCTGTTGGAACCCAGTTCTGATCAAGTACGAAGTTATTGAAATCGGCGCAGTCGGACTTTACTCCGAAAGATGGTTTTTCGATTATAACTTTTTACAACATTTAAGTATAGACTTTTGAAAAAAAGTACAGAATAGTCCTTATACTATTGAATAATTCTGTTATTTCTGATTCACACGACTCTGATTTGTTTAATTAAAAAAAAGTTTTAAAAAGATTACTTAGGAACGTAACCGGAGCTGGGAACGTAACCGGAGGAGATCAGTTGAATTATATAATTTAAAAAATAAAATATATGATTTAAAGTATATATATTAATAAATACGCATTCGAACAATCCCGTATGTTTTTAAATTAGTATATGTGCTTTAAATCATATATATTAATTTTTTGATTAATTTTTTAAATTAAAAAATCGAAGTCTCTTAAATCAGTAGTTGCACGAGTTGATGACTTTGCGCTCAGAAGTCTAAATAACTTGTCATGTGATGAAAAATGGCATTAAGTAACCATTGGCGATATCAATTTGTAGTTAAACTGATTAGTTAAGAACATATCATGTTGTAAGTATGTTAAGCATACCCATTAAAACTTGATTTAAAAGAAAAGCAATGAAGAAATCAATCTAAATGAACGATATAAACCAATAATTACAATACACGAGCGAAACGAGTATATTAACAAAGAACACTGCCATTCATTTGTGTTACCATAACAACCATTAACCAACTATTAATTTAAATCATGTTGTCTTATATACTGAAAGCTCCTTTAATATGTTTTCAAACACAACTTTGTTTTGATTGGTTTAAGAAACTAGCAGTCATTTACTCGTTAATCCGAAAAAGCTAGTTTTTCGCACATAAGTTGTGTTGCCATGGTAATCATTTCATCAAACATGATCAGACTTGCGCTATCAACTAATTATATATACACATATAATCCATCAACGTATGAATGTAAAAGGAGGTACATGAAATAAAATACTCAAGATTGTTACCTGAGAGAGCCACGCCGACTTTTGAGTATTGAGATTGGTAGTGTACCAAATAAGAATATGGACTAGAGATATATACGAGGGGTGATCCAAAAGTCTTGGACGCCCTGCTCTAATTTTGTTGGTTTTGATAAAATTACTTTAAACTTTCCAATAATGAAGACCAACAACCTAACTACTTTGTGTATTAATTTCATGGTGAAATGATATAATTTATGTAGTTTTCTCAATAGTTATAAATATAGTGACCCTGCCACCCGGAACGGTATTCGCATATTGCAACTTTCAGCCTTAAATGTTGCCACTATTTGACTTGTTTGCAAGTCTTGACCACTACATTTTCTTAAATTTTGAATGTTAAACCATGTTAGTTTGCTTCATTTGTTACTAGGCAACCAATTAATTGTGTTTTAATCATAATGTCACATATGACAATGGCCGTATATGTATATGTCAATCAACCCTCATTCTGGTATCATTTTTGCTCCAAGATAGCTGCTGAAATGCTGAACATGAAAGAAATCAATGTGAAACAAAGAATACTACAATATGTTTTTACTATTATTGACCTTGAGCAACTACCATATGCACGATACAGTCTAGATTTGGCTCTGTGTGATTTTCTTTCTTTTCTCCAAGTTTAAAGGAGGGTTGAAAGAAAATGTTTTTTACTCATTGGATGAGGTTTAGAGTGGCACTCCAGCAGCATTTGTATCACATAAGCAATGGCGGTTTCATAAATGTCTTTCATTCATTGGTAAAGCGGTATGAAAAATGTGTTCAAATTCGTGGAAAATATGTTGAAAAGTAGGTCTCAATATGGTAAGATGATGATGGCAGATGACACTCAGACTGAAAATTGGAAATTCTCTCATATCATGACTGGTGTTAGGTTGTGCACCTGCACCTAAAATATTTGCCATACTATAACAGTTGTGACGTGATTTCTTATATTTAAATACCATTCCGGGTAGCAAGGACCCAGTATCAAAAAATATTTAGAAAAGTAGCTAAAATATATTATTTATTCTGTTGAAACTTATACACAAAGTTGTTAAGATGTTGATCTTCATTATCTGAAAGTTTCATGTTATTATATTAGAAAATAGCAAAGTTAGAGCGGGGCGTCCAAGACTTTTGGATCATCCCTCGTATTTCATTCAAATAATCATCTTATTCATTTGTTTTATTGAAAACACCTTAAATATGTTTTCAATGTCTACTACATGTTGGTTGGTTTAATCCAAAGAGAGTCATTTATCGTTTAAAGAATGATGTGTTTATCCGAAATATTTACAATTTTTTTACTAAAGTTGTGTTGTCATAGCAATTTATTATCAGGAGATACTTGATTTCTAGAAATATGAATGTGATTGGAGGTATGTGACAGAAATTATTTTTGCTTAGCGTACCCCCTCATAAAAGGAGCCAGGGGATATAAATGGCGATAATTCGAAGAGGCTGAAATACTTCAAAATCTATGAGAAATGATATAATACACATAGTTAACATAATTAGAAAAATAAAACCCCGCAAGCAGAAAATGGTCCGAGCTCATCCAGTAAAAATTTCGGCAGAAGTATTCAGTCTACAATTTTGTTTCTCAGTCAATTTAGCTGATATTTCACTAAGTATACATCTTTTATGATTGCTAACACTAGAACTTCTGGGACTTGAATATAATATTTTAAGAAACGAAGATCATTGCTTCGAAATAACCTCAAGTCGTTTAGCTTCATCTGCGGCATCTCATGTGTCAGTCCTTCCTTGCTTAGATCTTTTGGAACGAACACATTTATTTGCAATCGACTCTTGTTCTTTTGGGCCGGCCAAATACCAATCCAATTGTCATGTAGATCCCCATGATTTTGGGTTTTCATATTCATTCTGAGCAATCAAAAAGTATTTTTAAAGTAATTGATCAATTACAAATCAGTTTTTAATTATATAACGTGCTTTGATAAATCACTGTACCATAGATCCCTCTTTTGGGCTTTGACTTGAAATCACATTCATGTCGTCCTCATTCTGACCAATTACAAAAAAGTATTTTTAATCATGTAAAATGATTTGATCAATCACAAAGCAGTGTTCAAAATCATGTGACATCCACTTATCGTAAATTCTTATTAGTCATGTACAGGGTGACACAAAAATATCACCCACTAATTTTGGAATAACTTTCTTTCATTCTTCTATTCTTTTTTGTATCAGAATTCTTCCTTGCTTTTTTCAGGAAAGTATTATTACATTGTCTTCTCTCAGTAAACCTAGTAAGTGGTCAATGGAAATCCAGTGTTATTGAGAAACTTGGAGAAGAAATTTGAAAAATTGAAAAGGCGGCCATTTTGAATGATTTCTCTTGAAATATCAGCATTTCCTGGAGATGCCATTGACCTGTTACCAGATTTACTAAAAGAAGACATTGCAAGGATACTTTCCTGAAAAAAACAAGAAAATACACACATGCATTCATACTTTATTTTGTAACAGATGGGCAGGTAAAGCTATTTCAGCATTGTAAGGGTCATTTTGACCATAACCTTTGTGATTCTGGCAACGTAAATGATATGTGGGAGTAGTAAAATTGACTGAAGATCAAAGCAGTTCAAAAAAGTCTAGAATTCACATGGTTTATTCAATTCCTGTTTGGTGTTAATTTCTAATTACTATCCCGAGACCTTAAGCAGTGATGTCACAAGCAGAGAAAATTTGTAAATTTTTGATGACACATGCAGTATACAGACCAGTATCATACAATTCAAAAAGAATTATACATACCTGTTTTAAACATTTATACATATAATCATTTAACCATCATTTGAATTTTTGTGAATTGAACTGCAACAATAAAGAAAATTGAAAAAATAGAAATTATTAGTTAGGTGCCCTAACACTGGTTCGTTTAATGGGAGTCCACTTGTAATTTCGACACGTGTGGCTGCCAAGTATACCACAGAAGCCGGATATATAAACAGTGAAATGTTTCTCTAGTTTTTGTCTAAGGTCTTCCATTATTGGCTTCGAAGGGCGCTTGGATGTTTTGATACAGCCATTTCTCTCAACGTCTAAACTCTTCAAGTTGGCCACATTGAAAGCACTCGGTGAAAGACAATACACGTTCCTATCAGCGTTAAACCAAAATGAACTTTGTCGAAACACATGTTCAACTCCTAAATAATCTTCAATTTTATTCAACTGTTTCCATGGTTCTATTTTCAAAGAATCCAAATCAACGGGGTAAATTTGATTCAGTTGAAAATGTCGTTTATACTTGATCAATGGATAGAGATAGTTGGAATGTTGAACAATGTTTATATCTGATTTTAGATCACCGTCACTCCCGATGATCATGTCTTCAAAGTTTCTGCTTTTTGGTATATGTCCAAGACGCTGATTATAGATAAAATCAGATAGCGTCCTTTTCACCGGGTCACAAACAGCCAATATTAGCTTCATATTGGGGTTAAAAGCGTAGATTCGAGCAGGATCTGCTAAATTGAAATACGAAGGTGTTGATTCGATAGTCACCTGTTCTTTAGAGCTACATGGCATTTTCCTAAGGTACCAAGTCAATGGCTCTGAGTAGTTCAAGTCGAAGAAATGAGGCTCCCCGGCGGCAGCAGCGATCGAAGGATGCGCCCCTAACAATGATCTTAACATGCGTGCCCCGCATCGTTGAATTCCTACAATGACTGTATTGGGCGCTCTTTTCACTCTTCCTGTTGTACAATCTTCATTCATCTTTTTCTCATATCGAAAAAAATCTGTTATTTTATGTACAAAACCGAATTCATCGTATATTTGTTGTTCTGTTTCATCAAGTTTTGTATTATTTTCAGGATTGATAATATCATCAGATGTCGTAGTAGTGAGAATTTGTTTTCGTGATTTATTTTTAGTTAGAGTGTGATCAATCATATCCTTATTTATGAATCCTCCATCTTTGGTCGTAGCCTCAAAAAGACCATCATTATAGTCATTATCTGCCGTTGTATTCTCGAGACCGCTTTGGTTGCCCTTATCAACGTCTCTGGGCATAGTCTTCCTTACCGCGTTCTTATTTTGATTCCTTATAGTCACTATTAGTAACACAGAACACAATATCAAAAAGATATTCTGGATTGTTTTATTATGTGGCATGTTGAGTTTATTTATGTGAAACTTATTTGTTTCCGTTGACCTTTTAAATTTAATGTATGCTCCACACCATAAGTTTGGCAACTTGACGTTTTCATTGCATCAGAGCATATCAATGCCTGTGAATGTTTAGATATTAAAGACAGAATCAGATCTATAGGGGTAAAAAATGTAAGCAACATCAACAATGGGCCTTCGAATCTATTCCTTATGATCTAAAATACAAATGTTATAAGCAGTTGAAGTCAAAGTTCGTCAATGGGAGAAAGTGTTTAAACTCTCCCAAGTAATAAAAAGGTAGTCGAAAGACAAGGTATTTACTTTGAGGATGTTTAGAAAATGGACATGACATGGAATGATATGGGCCAAAAATATTCTAAAATTGAAAAAATAGCAAGAACTTTGAACTTTATTCTCTCTTTAATTTTGTTATAATGATAAATAGGATTTTATAAACAAACAAAATGTGGAGGACCGTTGTTGAATCTATGAAGAGGAGTGTATGCAATAATAAACCCCAGTTGGGAAGCAACACAATAGGATGAAATGTAAGAATATGCATTCTTTTTCTATTGGACACTTGGCAAGCTATCCAAAACCAGCGTTGCACAAAATACGATTGACTGTCACATGCAGTACATTAAATCTGGACTTATCATCTCCTATTCACTCATTCAAAGGTTGAATAGTAAGCAGAAAATAAATCTAACTTTAAACTGTACATACCCTGTTACATGCGGTGCACCGAAGCTGAACTAATTACACCCATCCGGTTCTCAATACACTTACATCATAGCAATACAAAAGAAATGATTTTTTCCTAAAATTGAATCATTGCTTAGCGGCATCGGCTATTATTCATCCTTAAACCAAATGCCCATAGATTATTCCTAAAATAAAAGTTTTGATCAACACAACAAATGCTAGAAAATTCTAGTGTAGAGTACGTGCACTTGTACTTTACTTACAGGGTGGTCCAAAAAATTGGAACATTTGATTATTGAATCCAAAATCGCTATTTTTTCTCTAAAATGCACAAAAGTTTTACTGAGTTTTGTTCAATCACTTATTTATCTGATGTAAAGTTTATAGGTCAAACAACAAAGTTAATACATTAAACTAGAGAATGTCTGATATGACCCATTTTCTCCTGAATTACAAGTTAAAGCCTGGGACTCAGTTTTAAAATGATTCATTCACTTTGCTGTTCGTTTGATTTTTGTCCAAGCCATCTTGATTAAAAATCCAGCTTGAACAAACTACTTATTAATGTTTGCCTTGGAAGATCAAATATGTGAACACATTCAACATTTTTTTACCCAAATTGATGGGTATCAAGCATATTTTGATGGCTATTGTTGTATATAATATTGATTGAATATTCTCCAGAAAGAGGCCAAAGCAGTCTGTTTTGACTGGTAAATGTAACCCCCCTTCTTGTTCTAATATGAATAATATTTATTGAATATATCAATATAGTCTATGTATATCAATATCATGAAAGAGTTTCCCAGAACACAAATGATATATTACATGTGCTTAGAGGTGGTCTTTAAAGCCTCGTAAATAACTGGTCAGTTTCCCCTTTACTGAAAAGTGGAAACAAGGATTTTGTCAGTTTAGTAGTTGTATGGGTTATACAATCACTCACGTCTGACATGTTCTTTGTTTCCTACTCTTAAGTAAAATATTGATTTTGGGGTTTCTTAAGTTGACAATAACACAATAGTTTTCCAATAAACCAAAGATGTTAATACCTCATGTCAACTAAATATGATTTTATAAAATGTGTATAGCAATCAACATGTTCATTAAAGCTTTGAAATAAAGAATTTTTGAAAAAGTAGCTGCGAAATTGACAAGTGTATATTTAAGGAAAGGGGGTCATATCAAATATTGGCTAGTTTATTGCATTAACTTTGTGGTTTGCACCTATAAACTTTACATCAGAGAGATAGTCCACCCGTATAGCTCAGCGGTAGCGCAGGTACCTCTTACGCAATAGGTCCCGGATTCGATCCCCGGTTCAGGCAAGACTAAATTTGCTTGTTTGCGTGAAGTACTTCAGGTTGTTTGACTGAGTGGTCCGCAACTCGTACAAAAGGCTGTGGTGTGTACTTGTATGTCTATGTATAAGTGCACATAAAAGAACACAGGGCTCCTTCAAGGAAAGGGTTTCTGGGTCTATCTTCCATGTTAATTACGTAAATTACGACCGTATATATACGGGACATACCCAAGAGGTATTGCTCACCTTCATTGGTGGTAAACAAAATACAATACAATACAATAAGTGACTGAACTATGCTCATTTAAATTTTGTGCATTTTAGAGGAAAAATAAAGGTTTTGTGTTCAATTAACAAATGTTCACCACCCTGTAATTACCCTTTGCGCACATCATATGTTTCTAGAAATCCAAGTGATTTTGCACGAAATAAGTTCGTGGGATGAGAAAATCGCCAATATAATTCCTCGCTTTAGTTACCTAAACGGAACTTCAAAAAGATTTCTATTTTATCCCGGTCCGTTTACGTAACAATAGTGAGGTATTAAATCGACGATTATATCTACTGCACAGATTTTTTCTTCTGTCCAAAGAATACTGACTAAAATGATATATCTACGACATTTTCCAATGAATCGGGTATATAATTCATCAGGGAAATGAAAGTAAAATCATTAATATTGAGGATTAATCATGATATATCTGAATCTAATAAACAATAGGGACTTTCATAGTTCCTGTTATAATAATGACAAATACTTTTTCATATAAATAAGTTGGTTTTACACGTAAATCAATATTCTATAAATACACATAAAATATAGCCTGAATTCAAAGTAAATTGCATTCAATAAATGCTTTAACAGAATTCATCATATCTTTACAAATCAGGGGTACATATGTGATTACTAATTAAAATTGAACAATTAAAATATTTAATGACAAAGACCGATGCGTTTCAACAGCCCGTTCAAATGTCAAACCAATAATGCTTGTTATGGATTATAAACGAGTTGAACCTGTAAATTGTTCGATAATAGATATTTGATATATTTCACTAATACGTTCAACAATAGTTGTTCATAAGTCAGAATCATATGTAGCGAGGAACATTTACGCTAAACTAGGAGTTTAAGATAGCCCTCTACGTATACCTACAGCTGTACTGTGTAATTTGTTTTTGCATTGAGCGGTATTTTACGTTTCACGGTTTGCGATACGTAGTTACTATAAATTATCAGATAGGTGATTCCAGAACATATGTTTTTATTCTCTATATCGTATAATTTATAGATTACATACCAATCATTAACCCTTCAAATAAGGGAATATGAGCGAAATGTTTGCCTAGTAAAGAAAAAGTAAGATCGTATTGGAATAACTGCAAATTACCCACACCATAGGACCTATACCTTAACATTTATCATTAAAATACAATTTTCATAACACCTAGAGATATCGTCATTTTATTGATGTATATAAAAAGGAATGCTCCTAAAGGAATAGCGGTGCAAAATGAGCATATCCTTCTGAAAGGTAGTTGCAAGAAAACATTCTGACTTCAGCATTCAAAAACCTTTATTTTTGCAGATGACACTTCAGTCTATAACTCCTTTGAGAAAAGTGAGAATTTTATTAATATCCATGTACACCAACCCATTCAAAATGACTTAGATAATCTTGCCTTATGGGCGTATACCTGGAAAATGACTTTTAAAGCACAAAAAGCGCCGATTTGATTTTCCCGGGAACTAGAAACTTACTCATTGAACCTCCCCCTTTACATCTAGGAGATGAAATGATACCAAGATGCAATAGTCATAAGCACTTGGGGCTAATTCTGGATCAACATTTGAACTTTAATGACCATATTGATCAACTTATCACGAGAGTTATTTTGCTAATGAGACCTTTAAAGAAGCTTGGAAACAATTGGAACACTTGGAAACAATCTACAATGCTTTCATTATGTATGCCACATTTTGATTACTGTGATACAATTTACAGTAAAGCTTCAAATTTTAAACTTCAGTGTTTAGATAGACTACACTATAGAGCAGCTTGTTTGGTTTCTGGTGTTATACATGGGTCAAACACTGCTTCTGTTCTAAGTTCCTTAAACTGGAAATCTCTATCAACTAGAAGAGATGAGCATTTTAAAATGTTTATGTTTAATTGAAGGTACAATTCTTACCCACCTTTCATTTGTGAATTATTTCAAACTTATGAAAATACTCCATTACTTAATTCCTACAAAGGTAGCAATTCATTCCGGAGGTCATCTATTTTGAACGGAATAAGAATATATAACAATTTACACCTTGACGTGAGAAGAGGTCAACCGATATCACGCTTCAAAAGATTAGTAAGAGATTACAAGAGCCCTGTCTTCATGCTACCCACTACCAAAATGGTAAACGAAATGCCTAGATATGTTGAATCTGCTTTTAACAAACTCAGAGTGGGTCTTCTTTTAAAATCACAGCTATATGCTCATAATTTCACCAGTGTTAGTGATCCCTTTTGTAAATGTGGATTACCACAAACACCTTCTCATTTTATCTTAAAATGTCCTCAGCTTGTAAACGAGCGTGAAACTTTATTTGCAGGACTGCGAACTTCAGATCTTCATCTTTTGGTTCAGAGTTTAAACCCAGTTGACAAAATTCAGTTTCTTTTGTATGGTGATGAAGATTTAGATAATTCATTAAATGAAAAATTAATAGAACTAATAAGTCATTTTGTGAATCAAAGTTTGAGCCAAATTGATCGGTTTGGCTAATTTTTGCATGCATGTGTGTACCCATCTTTGGCCCATGGGATTATAGTTTCTTATACGAGTTTTAACATTACTTTGATAAATTTTAAAATTTTAATGTATTCCTATTCATATTGTCTAAAATTGCCGCTAATGTTTTTTTATAAAACTTTGGCAATCAATTGCATGTCTATTATTGTTTACTAAAGGAATAAATTTATGTATAAAAAAACGTCAGTTACTTCATAATAAGGATTTCCATTTATCATTGAATGTTGCAAACGTTTACGCAGCTTTTCACGTTAATATAAAACTCATTTTACAAAGAGCATTTACAATATATATCCGTAAGTAATATACGGATAGGGACAGGTATATGTATTTTTATGCTTATCTTAAACTACCTACTACAACCTGTACTATCCCGATAATTAATACTTAATTCCAGAGTAACAGGCATGTCATCAATTTTCTATTCACGAGGATAACACGATTTATTTATGGGATAATTTACACATTTTGCATTTTTGATCTTGAATAACTTAACAATTGTTTGAGATTTTACGGATATCTCACAATACACAATACATCCTAGATATTCTTTTTCTGTCCAAAGTTTCCATTCTCTTTCATTTGTTCCGAAACGATAGACAGGAGAAATGAGCATTTATTAAATCCATTTAAATATGTACAAAAATTGACCAGTAGTCTTCTAATATCTTTTTAAATTTTCAATGGAATTTTTCACTAAAGTCTTTAAAATCCCAATCTTCTAGTTCAATATTACTAATGTCTTCGTGCGCCAAATCTAATTTTTGGAGCTTTTTAGGAGCATTTTTCAAATTTTCACTGATGATATCCCAGTTATCAATCTTTTGATCTAAAGTCTTAGGATTTAATTTTACAATAGATGAAGTCAGGTTACCATGGAATGGGTAAACACCAAGAAAGTTATAAATTCTATCCATCGCTTGTACTTGATTCTCGCCGGATAGTTGCTCATAAGTCATAAATAGCTTTGGTACTTCTCGTGTATTCAGTGCGAGCAATGACCGCTTCCATTCTGCGCGTTTCAGCTTGACATACGTCACGAATCGGTTCCAATCGATTGTGACACTTACGTTCTGTGGCGTATCGGCGTTTGGAACGCCAGTTTTCTGCACCAGGCTTAGTGACGTAAAAGTCTCCAAGATCATCTCACGGTACAGTATGATAACCCGGGGGTTATCAAGAGCCGCTAAAATATCCTGTAGTTTCATCAGATGGGACAGTTTCGTCAACTCCCAATTCAACATGATGAATCCTGATATCTTCCCCAGGCCACACGCTGTCTTATCACGACATAATGCCTCAGTAAGATACTTCAAAACCCTGAATTTATTCGAATTTAGAAGTCCCTGGGGTCGTAGGATTCTTTCCGGCTGCAGAAGTTCACCGTAAGATTTTATCTTAGGGTGGTTGTTAAGGAGATGCATCATTAGATGTGTCCCTGACCTCCCATTGGCCAGTACCACATAGAATGTTGAATCGGTATGCGGTTGTGGCCTAGTAGATTCTGTTTGAATATTTGGCGTAATAGGTTCATTAAAATCATCACCAAAATTGTTACTGTTATCTATGACACGTCCGTTATCAGTTTCTTCCCCCTTTTCCCGATAGTCACTCAAAGTGTCTAACGGTTGCTGAATGTCATTGTTCTGCAACCCCCCTTGATTTCCATTGTTACCACTTTGTTCCGGAGGTACAGGGTTAACGTTAGGTGCTTGTGGTTGTCCTCGTTTATCCATCGCTGGTTGCAGGGCATTATTGCTAGGTATCAATCCCTGTTGGTTGGAGCGTATTAGTAGCACGATCGCCACTACGCAGAGTAGTTCTAGGCCCAGTTTCAACATGTACTTCATGACCTTCATTGCCCGTCGAGGTAGCATAATCCTTGAGGTTTCTTTGATAAATGTGAATTTTGTTGATATTGGACCTACGGGTCAGAACTTTGGCATACGAACAGCTGCTCAATGGCCTTTGTCTCGCCTCTATCAGTTATAGCATATTATTCTGGATAAGCTGCTTGTTTTGTTATCTACACATCTACACCGTTAACAAATTTTAATTTTAAAATTATTGGTTGTGTAAAAATCAATTTATTTTGTCATATCTGCGTGTTGGGTGAATGGAAGGACAAAGGTCATTTTGCACAGAGCCTTTCGCACTATATCACTCATAGAAGCTTACTGATATCATGACTGTTATTAAGAGCAATATGCGTGTATCATGAATATGTTTTTCGCCTTTGAAATACGAGAAATACGAAATATATTGATGAATATTTCAAAATCCCGTATTCAGTACTTAGCTCCATTTTATATGAATTTGAAAACTACACATTCCAATATTGGATTTATGTTCATGCCTAATCTTTCCGCTTACGTTTTGAAAAACAGTGTAAGCTTGACCCATCAATAAGCGAATTTAGGCTAAATGTATTTGACGGAGCATTTAACTTTAATCCACACGCAGAAACATATCGTCAGTTTTGTCTACTTTCTACACGTCAGAGTGAAAGGTACATATTTACTGCTAGAGAGGGAAGTACTCGCAGCCCATTACGTGAACGATTTTAGCTATGTTTTAGGGTGGTATAGGATGAATCGCCTCTCTTATTTATGTTTATTTTATCTACCAATAATGATGTGTATACATATAATTTATAATAAAATCATGAAAATAAAACTAAGCTATACAGGTTAAGTAGGGGAAAATACATTCAATTATAATATCACCAATTGGTGATTAACGCTTAAGCCTTATAGTTACTATGTAAAATACCTGTTTTTAGGCCTATTTAGATACATTCTATACACAGATTTACATATAATACCATATTCTATATCACAAAGTATCGAATCTGCGCCAAATATAATTGGCAACTATACACTGCTAGGGGGGAGGAAATGTTGTATATGCTATTTTGTTCCAACAAGCGTCGGAAAGATATTTTATTTTCAAGAATTAGTAGAAAGGAACAAAAAACAATTGCACTAAAAACTAAAATGTTAACAAAAACAGTTATATAAATTATATATAAATAATATTCGCATTAAATTGTTGTCAGTCAGTCAAAATTACTTAAAGGATCGCGTTTTTTACAGAGTGTTTTCAGTAATTGGTTTAAGAGAAAAACATTGTTCAATTCAGTTCATCATATCGATACCAATCCTTGAACTATTGCAAGCAATGTGCTATGGGGTCCAAATGAATTATACGGAAAATCATGATTAAAGCTTGGTTAAATTGCAGTATCATAACGTCAAGTTTTGAGGATGTATTCACATTAATTAATTATGATGTGTTACTTGGTTTAATGCAGATTATATCTCATGGATATATTATTTCACGACTGCTTGGCGATTGAATGTTTTACCTTTAAAAATTCATAACACAGTCAATAGTGGCTCTATCTTTATGAGATAACGCATGGTGGAAAGAAAATTCAATATGCTAAATTATCTACACTTCCCTCCATCAGTTTGGCAACCTTTTTTCCCCCATTGAACTTCGTGTTAAAGCCTCTTTACCTTTGAATTTTTTTTACTATTAATGGAAACGTAATTTGACTTTAATTCCAATACCTCCAATTACAACAGGTCGAAAATTGATGATAAATTTGATGAATTTTTGAAAATCGACATTCCCATGTTAACCAATAGGAAATGGTAGGTTTGCCGCAAGTCATATGACAGAATATCCATCCATCCGAGTCCTTGCAAAAAATAAGTTAGGCAGGCAATTTAATTTGCTTACTTTATTTAACAAAAACATTGATATGTTTCTTCAGGTTCAGCAAAGTTATAAGGCTTTAAAGTCAATTTTTTTTCAAAAAACCTCTCCCATTGAAATAACACAGAAGGCGAAAAATTATTTTCAAAAATGCAACAAAAAAAAGGATGTGATAGGTTTTGTAATAAAACAAAATACAGTAGCTAACTACGTACACAAATACACCCAAATTCAATAGACTAGGTGCGATTAGAAATAATCTTGATTTACGTCATTAAATATTCAAAATTTAGTCAAACTGATGTCATATTTGAAATCTTCGTGTAAAAGTATTTCTAGAATTATGGTTTCAAAAATTGTTGATCAACTTTGAAAATTAAATTTGTTTTGAAAATATCACTTCTAGTTCGGGTTGATTCCCCATAGATCCCATGTTACAAAATCACAAAAGGTGAAATATCTTTTCTTGTATTGGACAGATAACATTTTCCTTTCCTGGACATATTCTAATTTTCATAACTATTAGATACATAAGGGTTATATGAAAATTGAACCACTTAAACAGATGCAACTTAAGTTAAAGGGAACTTTCAAACAAACCAAACAATATTTTCAGACATTTCTTGCAAGATCTTGGGTTAGGGTTAGGGTTAGGGTATAACCCTGAAGAAAGGTGATTTGAATCCTTTATTTACCCGCAGACTGTCTATCTTATTCAATTGCAACATTTGTTTGCAATTTAGGCAGAAGAACACTTTGCTCCCGTCTTTCGTCCTCCCTCTTAGAGGCGAAGCTAGAGAGCAGTGTCCTCCCTCTTCGATGCTCTGAGCTAGAGGCTCTGAGCTAGAGGCGAAGCTAGAGAGCAGAAGCATTAGCCTTAGATAGCACCTTCAGACTAGTTTCCACGGTGTCGGCTTAGTGTTGCAGGGTAAACGGCTCGAACGAAACGAGATTCCACACGGCGCGTATATTATAGGGCAGATGCTAATCTCGTCGAGATTTTAATCGAACTCTTTGGCCCCAAAAGCCTTCGCTTTATTTTTAAGACTTTCTAGAGGCGAGAAACCAGGGTAAGTCCCGGACGCCGGACGAAGCTCGCTTGGGGGCGGGCTAGCGACACAGCGTTGGCAGTATCACGAGTTGGCTCGCACGGGGCCCGCCTTTAACCTATTCAGAGGCGGCACCGCTCAGGGTGCTCTAATTCACTTTTCCCAAAATAGCAAAAGAGGGTAGACGCCTCTAGCCCAGAGCATCGAAGAGGGAGGACGAAAGACGATAGACAGGGAAGCAAAGTGTTCTTTTGCTTAGATTGCAAAGGAAATGTCTCATCCACAAGAGTTTTTCTTACAAACTTTAATGAGTAGGCCACAGACAGACGACCCCCGTTCTAATGGGTCTTGCCCTAAGCTCTATATACGAGCAAGAGTTCAGACTTGTTACTAAGGTGTCGGTTTAGTGTTGCAGGTTAAACGGCTCGAGCAAGACGAGATTTCACACAGCACGTATATCATAAGGCAGATGCTAAGCTTCTCGAGAGTTTAGTGGACCAGTTTGGCCCCCAAAGCCTTCGCTTTATTTTTAAGATTTTCGAGAGGCGAAAAGACGAGGCGGTAAGTCCCTGACGCTGGACGATGCGAGCGATACCTCGCACGGGGCCCGCCTTTCACCTATGCAGAGGCGGCACCGCTCGGGGTGCCTCCAAGCCACGCCAGGCCATGCTATCGCTGAATCCCTCGGGACGGTAGAGGAGAGACCACGGCGCCCGTCGTTCAGCACCCGACCTTGCGCTCAACTCGCCGCGGCGCCCTTAGTGCAAGGAACGCTACATTCACTCAGCCCACGCGCCACACCGGACGCTGGACGATGCGAGCGATACCTCGGCGCTACGCCCTCGCTGGTAGACGATGCCTTGCTGATCTGTGTCAGTCTCAGAGCTGCTCACCCGGCTTGGCTCGCACGAGGCGGGCTAGCGAGCGAGCCAGCGTTGGCGGTATCACGAGCGTGCGAGCGGACGATGTCGTGCCGCCCCGCTGTGTCCGTCCAAGAGCGCGTACCGCCGGCCGTCGGCGACCTCGGTGAGGTAGTGACCCTGCATTCACTCTGACCGCCGAGTGGGCACGCGACTCCATTCACCCAGACCGTCAAGCTTTCGGAACGAGACCGACTCGAAGGTAGCCGCTAGATGACAGCTGTTATCTCCGAACTGCTTGCCTGGAACATGGTTCAAGTAACAGACGTCAGGTGTCAGCACCTGACGGTGCAATTTTATTATCACGCCGGCAGGTGCTGCCATCTAGGGACGAAACCGCACACTAAGCTAGCCGCAGCGCTGGACGCTGCCCTTCCCCCGCCACGCCAGGCTGAATCCCTCGGGACGGGAAAGACCGCAGCGCCCATCGTTCAGCGCCTATCGACCCGACCTGCATCGCCAACCAGCGCCGGGCACTCGCTCGCTCAAGGTCCGTCGAAGCGGGCGGGAAGCCATCGCCAATGCTTGCCTGTCTTTGGCTGCGAGCCGCTATGCCTTCACGCGCGCGGCGCTCAACTCGCCGCGGCGCCCTTAGTGGAACGAACGCTACATTCACTCAGCCCTTCCCCCGCCACGCCAGGCTGAATCCCTCGGGACGGGAAAGACCGCAGCGCCCATTGTTCAGCGCCTATCGACCCGACCTGCATCGCCAACCAGCGCCGGGCACTCGCTCGCTCAAGGTCCGTCGAAGCGGACGGGAAGCCATCGCCAATGCTTGCCTGTCTTTGGCTGCGAGCCGCTATGCCTCCACGCGCGCGGCGCTCAACTCGCCGCGGCGCCCTTAGTGGAACGAACGCTACATTCACTCAGCCCTTCCCCCGCCACGCCAGGCTGAATCCCTCGGGACGGGAAAGACCGCAGCGCCCATCGTTCAGCGCCTATCGACCCGACCTGCATCGCCAACCAGCGCCGGGCACTCGCTCGCTCAAGGTCCGTCGAAGCGGACGGGAAGCCATCGCCAATGCTTGCCTGTCTTTGGCTGCGAGCCGCTATGCCTCCACGCGCGCGGCGCTCAACTCGCCGCGGCGCCCTTAGTGGAACGAACGCTACATTCACTCAGCCCTTCCCCCGCCACGCCAGGCTGAATCCCTCGGGACGGGAAAGACCGCAGCGCCCATCGTTCAGCGCCTATCGACCCGACCTGCATCGCCAACCAGCGCCGGGCACTCGCTCGCTCAAGGTCCGTCGAAGCGGACGGGAAGCCATCGCCAATGCTTGCCTGTCTTTGGCTGCGAGCCGCTATGCCTCCACGCGCGCGGCGCTCAACTCGCCGCGGCGCC